ATCTTTCTTCTATCATTGACAGTCCCTCTAGGTTGTGGGCTGCTTGCCTGTGTTCCTGAGAAGCATCTACGGTACCAGTCTATAGAGTGTGTTTTCTTTAGTGAATTACCGGTATGTTTACCGGTAATAAACTTGCACTGTTTTATGTATATGTTTGATTACATACAGCCTTGTGACAGTTTTCCTGCATGTCATAAGCATTTGAATATAAATTAAAATGTTAAAATCAAATCTGATATTGTTTTACCTTTTATTTGGTGTGTGGAAGGTGTGCGGAAGAGGGGGTAGTCTTATACGGCGAGTATATAACAAACTCTGTATTTTGAGTGGAAATGTTAGGGGCTCGTCTTAATCGCCCAGTCGCCTTATACGCCGGCAAATACGGTAGTTGTTTATAGATACAGTCGGCCCTTCATACCCATGAGTGCCCATCTACAAGTTCCACATCCACATATTCAACCAACTGCAGATCAAAAATACTCGAAAAAAGAAATTTCCCTCGTTGCTCATATGTCATATGTAGTAAGGCCATGATGGTTGCATCTGTACTGAACATGTACAGACTTTTTTCTTTGTCATTATTCCATAAACAATACTGTGTAACAGTGATTCATAAAGCATTTACATTGTGTTAGATATTTTAGTGATCTAGACATGATTTAAAGTATACAGGAATGCAAATACTGCGCCATGTTATATTAGGTACGTGAGCATCTGTGAACTTTGGTATCTGCCTGGGGTCCTGGAACCAGCCCCCACAAATACCAAGGGACGACTACATATTGGGAAAATGTGGTTCTTGGTTATTTGAATGTGATATTCTTTTTAAACTAGTACTTGCTTCCATTGTATTTGCTATCACTATACGTTTCTTTTAATATTGAAGTTAAAGAAATGGACATGACTTCATTTAGAATTTTTCTTTAGATCTTCCTCAGGAACAGTGTTTGATGATGCTTTCTGGCTGGAGTTGAATTATCTAGAAGTTGCCAAGGTAGCCCAGTCTTGTGCTGCTCACTTTACAGCATTACTCTATGCAGAAATCTACGCAGATAAGAAAAACATGGAGGATCAAGAGAAAAGGTAATGGAATTTACAAGTTTTGTTTTTCAAAATTAGTGTTGACTTTGTTTCAATGAAGTTTTATATTAAAGATTTATTCTGTTCTCACTTCCACATTTAAAAGATATTTTAGATAGAAGTTTTCTGTCTTTAAAAAGAGAAATAATAATATTTTTAAAAAGAAATAAGGAATTCTGTTCTGGAATAAATTGAAATGTTTATTATTTAAGAATTGTAAAAAATTATAGAAGGAGCTACTTGGAGACAGACCATACTTTTCCCCTGTATTCCTATAGCAACTGGCATTGGAAACAATATAAGTGAACAATAAATATTTTTCAAATGGTTGAAGGATTCCCTGATTTCAGTTAAATTAAGTTTACTACTATTCCCTCAGCTTAATCAAGATCTATTTTACTTGTTGACTGTGAAATAATGTGACTGGTTTTTTTTTCTGTGACTACATCACTTTCATTGCTGTGTTTGTTACCTACCTGAATTTCTAATACTTTAATTTGCTTTTCCTCTAAGTTAGAACTCTCATAAGAATTTAATAAGTGTAGTCCTAGATAATAGTGAGAAACAAAACAGCCAAGAAAGTTCAAGAGTGAAAAATGTAGTTTATAATCCCACTTGTCCTCAAATTTTCATTCATTTGAAATAGCCTAGTGTTTATTTTTATAGTTCGCTTCACTTTTCCACCACAAAAATCACTTATATTAAAAAATTGACACCCAGCCGGGTGTAGCTCGGCGGTTGAGCATTGACCCAGGAACCAAGAGGTCACGGGTTCGATTCCCGGTCAGGGCATATGCCCAGGTTGTGGGCTTGATCCCCAGTGGGGGCGTGCAGGAGGCAGCCGATCAGTGATTCTCTCTCATCATTGATGTTTCTATCTCTCTCTCCCTCTCCCTTCCTCTCTGAAATCAATAAAAATATATTTTAAAAAAAATTGACTAGAAGGGGTCAAAGGGGAAAAAAGGGGAACATCTGTAGTACTTTCAATAATAAAGATAAATTTTTTAAAAATTGAAATAGCAAATATGTATAATGTTGGCACATTTCTCATGCTTGCTACTTGTAATTTCTACTTTAAAAAATAAATCTTTATTGTTGAAAGTATTACATATGTCCCCTTCCCCTCCCCCCCAGCCCATTGCACTTTCCAACCCCTCTTCCTCTCCAAGCCTTCACCACCATGGGTTAATACACATACGCACATGAGTTCATTGGTTGATCTCTCCCCCTCTATCCAACCTCCCCTGCATACCCTCTGAGGTTTGACAGTCTGATCATGTCTCTATGTCTCTGGGTCTATTTTTGTTCATTAGTTTATGTTGTTCATTAGATTCCAGATATGAATGACATCGTGTGATATTTATCTTTCTCTGACTGGCTTACTTCACTTAGCATAATGCTCTCTAATTCCATCCATGTTGTTGCAAATGGTAAAAGTTCTTTCTTTTTTATAGCTGTGTAGTATTCCATTGTATAGCTGTACCACAGCTTTTTAATCCATTAGTTTCCATTTTGGATTGCCATTAAGCTGGAAGAAGTATGGTTTTTAGACTGAAAAAATCAGCAACCAGAATTCAGATTCTAGTCCAAACATAATTAATTTAGAAGACTTGGACTGATTTTTTAATTCTCTGGTTTGGTATTTAATTTCTACTTTCAAGTTGAAAACTGGAAAAAATCTACAATATGTAGATTATGTGTATAATATGCAATGGATATGTTCACAATCACAGTAGACTTCCTATCGACAACAATATTAAGCATGTTGTCCTTAAAGTATGTATTGAGTAAGAAATTGATTATTGCCTATTCCTAAAATCTTAAAATCTTGAGTCAGGGCCTGCATACTTGGTAGCAGTAATTATAATCCAAATGTGCTTCAGTAGTTTGGTTCCATAGAATGAATGGTATTTCTTACTAATCTGGAGTGTATAATTGAGCTCTTCCCTGAGTAAAAGTAAAAGCATCTTTAATTATATGGAATGTGGCAACTTTTTGAAAAATTAATTGTCTATCAAGCAGGAGTGCCTTGATTTTATTTTGGCAAACTTTAGGAAACTGTGCATGACAGATAAATAGTGCTTGCTGTTTGCTTTCACGATCTGGTTTTGATTTTTTTTTTCCTGATGCCCGATGGGAGGGGGAGTCCAAACAGAGATAGGAGGTGTGTAAAATGTAGGGATTGCCAGTTTTGTTCAGTAGCTCAGGTGAACTGAGACTTCGTAAATTTAAAGTGATCAGGGAAAGCATAATTGTGAGCAAAAAACAAATCAGTAGTTTACACACTGTCGGGTCCAAGAAGTGAATTGCTTTCTTAAATTTTCTATTTGTTATTTAATATCAAAATACCTCCATACTAGCTATTCCAAAAAATACATATGAAGTTTTACTTACTTGTAACTTGCTCCTGAGAAAATAGTGATTTCAACGTTTAGTGTTCATATTCTTTTTTAAAAGTCAAAACGTTTCAAACAGGATTTATTTAGACAATAGGTGTTACTAGTTCGCACCCTCAGTCATTTTAAGGTTCCTGACAGAAGTCCTGAAACTCCATGTGCCTCGATGAATGATAGCCATAGACTAGAATCATACTCTCTAATATCTTTCCTACTTTCCAGATTTCTTCTCTAAAAACTGACTTTTTTCTGTATGACTTGCCAATAAGGAAATATATGCAGTATCTATGTATAAGGGTTATAAAGCAAAATAGAATGTTGTCAGCACCATTATATTAATGAGTGGTCTCTGCCCCATCCCTCTGTGCTTCCTCCAAGATGCAAATGTTATCTTCTATCTTGTGTTTATCATTCGCTTAGATAATATTGTTATGTGAGTATGAGCTCATAAATATATTGCAGTTTTCCTTATTTTTGAGCTTTATAAGAAATTATGTGTGTTTTTCTATAGCTTGATTTTTCATTTAATATTTTTGTAAGATTTGTTTATGTTGTGTGTTGCTGTAGTTCATCAATTTGTCACTGCCATATAGTGTACCAGTGGGAGAATATGCCACAATTAATTTACCCATTCTCCTGTCACTGAGAGATAGCTAAGTGTAGAATTACTATGTCACAGGGTATGTAAATTTTAACCTTATAAGATAGTGGTTATGCCAATTTGCATGCTTCTCAGAAATGTGATTCGTGAGAAGTGGATAAATAGGGAGCCTTACATGTGAAGAAAGGAGCCAAAGTACTATTTCTAGTCTGGGTGGAAAAAGTAAAGAATCTGAACTAAGTTTACAGGTAAATAATAGAGGTGCTGTCACATATGATAGTATTTTATAGGCACTGTGTATGTGGCATGATATTCGAATTGAAATTATTTATAGGACTGAATATCACATATAAATGCATGGTTTTAAAGCTAAGGCCTTGGAGCAGACAAATCTGAGTTCTATCTAAGAACTCAGTTCTAAGTTCTACTACTTATTAGGTTTATAATCGTGGGTATAGGTTTCTCAACACAATATTATCAGACGTCTTAACTTTTGCCCATTTATCCGGTTTAAGTAGTGTTTTAGTGTGATCTTAATTTGTGTGCCTGTGATTATTAATGAGGTTGAACTTTAGGTAAAAATACTGGCAGAACAGTTGGGAACTGAATTGGGTGGCAGCTACTCTATTTTTAAACAGGTCTGTTTATATAAATAAGCATTTTTGGCATGTAGCCTTTCCATACATAACATTGCCATTAAAATGTAATTCTCATTGAAAAATTAATATTCACAGATTTGTTTTTCATTCTAGGCCTAAGTGATACTATGTTTTAAGGTATAAATGGTTTACTATGTTTTATTTGTGACCATTATTAGTTTTTCCATCAAAGTCTATAGACTATGCATTCACAAGCATCTCATTAAAATATGTGTTCTTGACAAACAGAAATCTCGTATTTGAAGAGGGAAGCCAAAGCACAACCATTTCTAGCTTGAGTGAAAAAAGTAAAGAAGAAACTGGAATAAGTTTGCAGGTAAATATTATAGGCCTACTATTTGTGATAATATTTATTTTATATTCATATTATTTTGTTATAGAGACTGTATAGATATAATTTGATTTTCAAACTAAAGTTTGGACTGTCATGTACATAAATTCATGGTTTGAAGCTTGGACCTTGGAGTAGAAAATTTGAGTTCTAATCCTGACTCTACCACTAAGTTGTATAGTCTTGCACCAATTACTTAACCTTTCCAACCTTGAGTTCCTTTATTGGAAAGATTGATGTAAAACCTATATCATAGGGTAATTGATACCATGTATTTTTCATTTTCCTTATAGTACTTAACAGATATAATTACATATTTATTGATTTACTTATTTATTGTATTGGTCACATCTCAGGCTTTCAATACATTTCTTAATATCTACTCTTAAATTGGCCTGTTCTTACTGAATTTCTGAGGTCAATTTGTTTCTCTAAAATGACAATTTCAACTTCTCTGATCTTTTCTGCTTTGCTTTTGTTTTAGCTTTAGCCTTCCTCCTACTTCTGGAGAAAACGCGGGTCATAGACAGGAAATCCCACCACAACCTACTATCATAGAAATCTCCCTGCATCTGCTCCCATCATAGAGAAAGGTTTCTCCTTCTGTCTGCAGACTAATCCTTCTTCCTGTGCTTTGTTTTTCAACAACTCTTTTTCAGATTAATATATATATATATATATTGCTGTGCCCTCTCTCAACATATCAAACTTTTCCTATTAAAATCATTTTCCTGCAAACTAATACAAAATCATTTTTCTAGTCCCTATGTCTTTTTGTGTGTGTGTCTCCCTTCCCTTCACAGCAAACCTTTGTGAAAAAGTTCTCTATAGTTGGTGTCTCCATTTCACTCTCTCCACTGAAGCTGCACTTGCTAGTGGCACCAGTAAACTTCATGTTATTCAGTCTGGTGGTCATCTTTCATTCAATATGTTTCTTAACATTTCATTAACACTTGGCACCATCAACCATGCCTTGCTTGAAATATATTCTATCTACCTTTTTAAAATTCCATTCTCCCAATTTTTCTTCTTCCCTATTTGCTTCTTTGTATTCTTAATCCTCTGTTACTTAGTTTTTGGAATATTTTTTGTATTCCAGGCACTGTGCTAGACTTAAATACTAAATGTTTTAACACTGAGACTTGACTTCATGTTTATGACTAGAAACAGTTTAATTACAAATACACAGTGATGCCAATATCAATGAATTTTTATTTAAGCAATATCCTTCAAAGCAAGCACCTTTTAGGCAGTTATTGCTTTGTCAATTTCCTATGGAATACAGTTTCTTACTTTTTCAATTTTTATTTTTATTTTATTGAGATTATTTTAAAATAATTATCTTTTTCCTGTGTAAATTTCACAGCAAAGATTTGAGTCATCAAATCACTTCTTTATCCATATCACATTATACCAATTATAACATAATGCAGATTTGAGTTTGTTTGTTTGTTTGTTTTTTCACTAAATTCCATTTTCAAGAATCAGACTTTGCTTCAGAACATCATTTTCCCATCAACAGTTTTAGCTATTGACAGGATTATTTGGTGTGTGTTTTTAATGATTATTCTTGCATGTATTAAAAGCCTAGTCAGTTGGGATTTCTTTCTCTTTTTTAAAAAATATATTTTATTGATTTTTTACAGAGAGGAAGGGAGAGGGATAGAGGGAAACATCAATGAGAGAGAAACATCGATCAACTGCCTCCTGCACACTCCCCACTGGGGATGTGCCCGCAACCAAGCTACATGCCCTTGACCGGAATGGAATCTGGGACCCTTGAGTCCGCAGGCCGACACTCTATCCACTAAGCCAAACCAGTTAGGGCGGGATTTATTTCTTATCTAATTCATTAAATTGTGAGCAACTCTTCTCAGTCATTAATTACATTGTTATTCGGTTATCTGGGATCTTTTTGTGTTCCTAATCCAAATTAATATCATTTTATTTTATAATATAGCATTTATAGTTGAGATTTACATGTTGCTGAACTTCCAATTTGCTAAATTCATAAAGTGATAAGTTTTTCTCTCTTCATTTTTTGTTGTTTCCATGTTTTTAGGATCTGCTCTTAGAAATCTACAGAAGCATAGGGGAGCCAGACAGTCTGTATGGCTGTGGCGGAGGGAAAATGCTACAACCCCTTACTAGGTAAATTGCATTGTTCTAGGTAATGGTATTATAATTCTGTTTGTGAAGGAGTTACATGTAGAACTCAAAAGTATTTTGAAATCTTTAATTATAGACTACGAACATATGAACATGAAGCAATGTGGGAGAAAGCCCTAGTAACATATGACCTTGAGACAGCAATCTCTTCGCCAACCCGCCAGGCAGGCATCATTCAGGTATTTTTTTTTTCCTGCTTTAGTAAAGCACTAAAAGTGTAGTGCTGAGATGAATTCAGTGTGTCAGTGGAATATTTATATAGCCCGATAAATTCTAGGTATAAGACTGAAATGACGTGTTTTTTCAGGCATTGGGCTAAAAAGTCAGAGGGATGCACAGGTAAATAAGACAGGTCACTGACCTAAAAGATAGTGTTGATGATGATCTTGTTAGCTAATATTTGGAGATATTTCTTGATTGTGTATAGCAAACATGTCAAACTCAAGACTAACACGGGCCAAATAAGGTTTAAGTTTATGTGGGGCGAAAAAAAAAAAAAAGAATCTTCAATTTTCATAGAAACATGGGTTTATTTCAATAGAGACATGCTAAAGACAAAGGACTGAAATAAATGAATAATCATTAACATAAAATAGTAGAACATTTTAATAAAAATTAATATTTTTTCTTGAACATTAAATTACCAGACACTGAATAACTGCACAAATTAATAAGCGTAACGCAAATAAATCTATTTTTCTTGTTCTCCAAAAGTGAAATATTTCCTGTTGCACACACCAAACAAATCAGTCCAAGACTAATGACAAGGCAATCTGCTGCTAAAATATTCACTGGTAGCATCAGTGGAGAGAAATGGTGCGCCTGTGTGTAAGGCGCGTAAGTGAAATGAATGCAACATGATTTTAGTAATCAGTCATTAGCCAACATTGTAGTTTGTTATTAATAATTATGTATAACAATAATTATGTATAACAAGATATTGTAAAAATTAATTTACGAAATTTTTATTAAAACATTTCTTGCATACCATTATATTGACTGGGCTGCAAAAATACTCGTTGTGGGCCACATACTTGACATGGTTGGTGTACAGTGTGCTAGGTAATGAATTAAGTCCACCTGAATAATCTCATGTAAACTATTTCTAATAGTTTGCATTAGAGCTGGTCCCAGAAGGTATCATTTCTCTTACTGGCTAATATTTCTTAACCATTCTTCCATCAAATATTAGAGTCCTTTAAGCTCTATCTTTGTGTTTTGGGGGAACATAGCTACCATTACTTCAGAATTTTAAATGAAATATTATTCACTACTAAACCTTTTTAAAAGTTACTTTGCGTGTTTGATTGTTATATTTTATTTCTAGTTTTCTGTTATCTTTGATTACTTACTTTTTTTTAAACTCCAAATTTAGGCCTTGCAGAATTTGGGACTATGTCATATTCTTTCTGTCTACTTAAAAGGATTAGATGATGAAAATAAAGAGTGGTGTGCTGAACTACAGGAACTTCATTACCAAGCAGCATGGAGGAATATGCAATGGGACCACTGCATTTCTGTTAAGTAAGAAGAAGTCTGGCATTTTTAATCATCATTTCTCTATTTATAAACAATACACTTTTAAAATATTGCTCTATGAATATAACAGGATTTCTGTTATGTTTTTGAGATCTTGCAAGCCGAAGATATGCCTATATGCTTAAATAAGATAGCAATAAGCAGTTCATGTACCTAGATTGAATTTCACTCTCTTCCATTCGGGCAACTCTACCCCTACCTCCAAGTATATTTGAAAATAGAAATATAAAAAGTATTTTCTCATGAGAATCTTCTCACTTTTATTTATAAGTCCAAAGAAAAATATATCCATTTCCCTCCCCACTCACTGCTGCAAACATTTTAGTGAATCAGTTAGCACTGTTATTGACTGGATGTATACAAAAGACTGTTTACCTTTATTTATGAAATATCCTATCTAATAAAAGAGAAACATGGTAAGTGGCATACGACCGCTACCCTTCCCATTGGCTAATCAGGGAGATATGCAAATTAACTGCCAGCCAAGATGGTGGCTGGCAGCCAGGCAGCTTGAAACTAACATGATGCTTGCTTCAGTGACGGAGGAAACCAACGTTCCCTGCCTGCCTTGCAGGCCTCTGAGCCTGCAGTTTGAAAAATTTTTAAAAATATAGAAGCTAAAAAAAAAAACCCAGAAACCAGCTTTCAGCCGGCTGGGATCTCAGAGCTGGAGTTGATACAGTGTTTCGAGTTTATAGAATCTAAACAAACCAGATACCTACTTTCAGCTGTAGAGGCCTCACTCAGAGCTGGAGCCAGAGCTAAAGCTGGCCCAGAATTTAAAAAAAAAAAAAAAAGGAGCGGTTGGGAGCTTCCGTCACCTGCCAGCCTAAAAACAGCCCTCAGCCCCTCCCCCAGACTGGCCAGGCACCCCAGTGGGGACCCCCACCCTGAAGGGTGTGTGACCAGCTGCAAACAGCCATCATCCCCTCACCCAGGCTGGCCAAGCCCCCCAGTGGGGACCCCCACCCTGATCCAGGACACCCTTCAGGGCAAACCAGCCAGCACCACCCGTGCACCAGGCCTCTATCCTAGATAGTAAAAGGGTAATATGCCTCCCAGCACCGGGATCAGCGGAGCCGCAAGGCCTCCCGGCACCAGGATCAGCGTGACGGGGCAGCGCCCAAAACCCCTGATCGCCCTGCGGCTCTGTGTGTGACAGGGGGTGGGGCCACAACCTCCCTATCCGCCCTGCTCTGTGTGTGACAGGGTGCGGTGCCCCAACCCCCCGCCCCCCATGGGCCCTGCTCTGTGTGTGACAGGGTAGAGCCATAACCTCCCCATCGGCCCTACCCTGAGTGTGACAGTGGTGGCGTCCCAACCCCCTGATCGGCCCTGCTCTGTGGGTGATAGAGGGCAGTGCCCCAACCCCCTGATCCGCCCTGCTCTGCGTGTGACGGGGCGGTGCCCCAACTCCCCTATCGGCCCTACTCTCTGAGTGATAGGGGGGAGCTCCTCAACCCCCTGATGGGCCCTGCTCTGTGAGTGACAGGGGGGAGCTCCCCAACCCCCTGATCGACCCTGCTCTGTGCGTGACAGAGTAAGGAGCCCCAACCCCCCTGATGGGCCTTGCTCTGTGTGTGACAGGGGGCAGTGCCCCCACCCCTGGATTGGCCCTACTCTGTGCATGACAGGGGGTGGCGCCGCAACCTTCCCATCGACCCTGTCTTGAGTGTGACAGGGGGCAGTGCCCCAACCCCCCAATCGGCCCTAGCCTGAGCGTGACTGGGGGTGGCATCGCAACCTCCCAATCCGCCCTGCTCTGTGCATGACAGGGGGCGGCGCCCCAACTCCCCAATCGGCCCTGCTCTGAGCCCGACCAGTGGCTGCACCTAGGGATTGGGCCTGCCCTCTGCCACCCGGGAGCAGGCCTAAGCCAGCAGGGCGTTATCTCCCGAGGGGTCCCAGACTGCGAGAGGGCACAGGCCAGGCTGAGGGACCCCCACTTCCCCCCGAGTGCACAAATTTTTGTGCACCGGGCCTCTAGTTTTTTTATTAAAAAAATACTGCTAAATTACTAACAAAGGACGATAATATTTGTAGGATCACCTCGTTTTCTGAATGAAAAGCCAAATACCTAATTAATAAACGATTTTGTATCTACATTAAAAATCTTTTGATGAGGTAAACAATAAAAAATTATATCATATTAACTGTATGTTTAACTGACTTCATAGAATTTTTTTTTTTTTTTTACTAATGGGCATTTCTTTCCAATTTCAAACTATTATATTACTATAAAATTAGAGATATACTTTCATATTTTTAAAACATTATAGTCTGTGAGCTTGTTCCTGCCTACTTATATAAGTCGCTATATACTGTTCTTCTTTTGCCCCCTCTATTTCAGCCACAAAGGTCTTTTCTATTTTTTCATCAGGCCAAGCTGTTTCTACCTAAAGGCCTTAACGTGTATCTTCTTTTTCCCCATTACCATGTGTGTGGCTTCTTGTCATTCAGATTTTAGTTTAGTAATATCACATCTCAGAGACACCTTTCTTGGCTACCCATTCTAAAACATTGATTCTGTTTTGTTACTCTGTTTTAATTCTCTGCATGTCCCTTATCACTACCTTATATTTTTTTTAATTTATTGTCCATCTTCTCCAAACTGGAACATAAACTCCATGAAAATGAATCTGATCTGACTTTGCATCTAAACCTGGTACCTAGTGCCTGGCACATAGTTCGTGTTTAATGAATAAAAAAGTGAAAATATAGCATATTTAGAATCCTGCACAGTATGTGAAAAACATTTTTTCTGCTTGAAGAATTTAAATGACCAAATTTCTTAACTGAAATTTCTAGAAATGCTTTTTATAATGGAGAAATCTTAATTTTAGTTTTAAAATTGTGTCTCTTGATGAATTTATACATGCATATCTTAAGATTCTGTTTTTCTTTTCTTTTTAAAATTACCTCACAGCAAAGGAATAGAAGGAACCAGTTACCACGAATCATTGTACAATGCTTTGCAGTCTCTGAGAGATAGAGAATTCTCCACATTTTATGAAAGTCTCAAATATGCCAGGTATTATAAAAAGAAGTTACTGTATTTTAACATTTAATGTCATGGCTTCTTTTCTGAAAACTTGACAAATGATTTCAATGTAAGGATTTGCACTGGTGAAGGGATAAGAGCTTGGTGGCTATAGTCAGGTTGTTTCTTTGTCATTTCTGCCCTCCTCTCAAAAACACTTCCCTGTGTAATAAAAATTCATGTGAATTAGTGTTGAAACTCAAACAATGAAAATGGGGGATGGGAACAACATCCAGGATTTAGCAGTTTGCTACCTTTTGCACATCTGAGAAATGAGTGCTCAGAAGAGTTTTATCTTCTGTAAGCAAATTGGTATGCAAATTGTGGGTGTGCCTATCTTAATTGTTTTCTGTATCTTGAAAAAGTATTCTTTGTTTTTTTCAATGTTATATGCTAGAGAATTCTTTAATTCACATTTGTCAAATATATATTACAGTGTTTTTATTTTTGTTTTAAATGTAGGAGCATGCTAGGTGCTTACATAAATTGTTATATTTTTTTTTATGTAATACATTTTTCTTTGTTTATGTAGTTCAAACATGTTCTTTCCTTTAAAAACAATTCCCTTTGCGACCCCAAGGCCTATTTTTTTATGCTGAACTCTCAAGAAAGATTTGTTGATTGCCACTCCTTTTGTTTTCTTCCTCGACCAGTTCACTAAGAGTTTTAATCTTATCTCCTTTAGTAGTTTGTATGGAATATACCTGTTTTAGTGTTTTTTTAAGTAAAGTCAATACTTCAGTCTTGTTATGGGGCACAAATGAGACATTGCACATGAAAGTACTTAACCTATTATAGACCAAACAAGTGTAAAATTGCTTTTTGTTTAACAATAGCTAGTTACCTATTAAATCCTGTATTTTGTTACAGAAATAATATTGTTACCATTTAGGTGCTTATTATGTTCTAGCCACTTAGGCTTTTTTATGTATATATTCTCTAATGTTCAAAATAAGTCTGGAAGAGAAAAGCTTAGATTCAGAGGAAACCAGCATGTGCCCAGTTTTCCAGCCATACGTGGCAGTGCTGAGATTTAGATCTAGGTCTGTCCGATTCAAACAAACTTACTTTGTTTTCACTGCATTAGGCCAGTGCTAGTGAATATTATTTATTATTAAATCAAAATTGAAGCCTAGGATGAGAACTTTTATCTTCCTGAAAACCTCTTCTCAGTTTTTTCATTGTCATGTCTCTTCTGCCACTAGAGTAAAAGAAGTGGAAGAGTTGTGTAAGGGCAGCCTGGAGTCTGTGTATTCACTGTACCCCACACTTAGCAGATTGCAGGCCATTGGAGAGCTCGAAAGCATTGGGGAGCTTTTCTCAAGGTAAGTGACTTGTACGACTGTATTCCTCATCAGTGGTGTTTTTGTTTCCAGCTGTGACTTTAAAAAGTAGAGACCAGCAGTAGGTTTGTTTCTTTCCTTTCATCAGGTTGTAAATTGATTAGTCTAGTGAACTGTACTCTTATTAAAATAAATATTTTCAAAAATAATGAAAGTAAAAATTCACGTTTTTAAAATTTAGTATTAGATGCTTTCCTCTTTACTTCGTGTTCTCTTTTCTACCCCAGGTGGAAGGGTTTCCTCATGTTTTTTGCTACAGCATGTTATTCTCCTTTCTGTGGAGCACTGCACTGACATTGGTGTCATTTTGTGTATACTCTGCTATGCTATGCCAGAAGCTCCTAAAAGTGGGGCCCATTCTCTTGTTTGCTGTTGTATCCCCAGTGCATTTTCCTCGTGACGGATTCATACTAAACATTCGGTGACTGTCAGTGAATTTGGAGTAGGTGTGTAGGGGAGATTGGCTTTTATAATGGTGAGAAGGAAGCAATCCAGAATATTGAAAAAATGAGCTAAAATAGTTCTTCAGGATGCTATTGATCTCAGTTTGGATTTTGTGACTCTGAGAAAGTTCCTTATCCTTTTTGGGCCTCACTCTCATATCTAAACTGGGGGGTTTATATTTGGTGGCCTCTAGGGCCCTTTGTAGCCTGTCATTCTGAGTCACTATTATTGTTATAAGAGGAAGGAAAGGGGGTGTAATTTGCTAAGATCACCATACCTCTATGCTACACTAGAGCTTGGAATATGCTTTGTGAGTAAAAAGGAGAAGGAAATTTTAGAGTCAGAAAATAATTACAGTTTTTCAAAATTGCACAAAGACAAAGCCATTGATGTGGCTCTTCTTAACGAGAATAAAGGAGCAAAACTGCTTTCTACTTTCATTAGTAAGTATGTTGGTAGTTCTTACTGCCACAAATCCAGGAACTGTTCCTCTGGATGAAAGATGTCTTCACTAAAGTGAGGACAGATTCCTTAAGAAAGCACTGAAGAGTGATACTGGCTCTGTCTCTGATAGGGAATTACAAGGAAGGGAGTGGAGGGCCATTTGATGAGCTGGTAAACAGTAGTTCTTAAAGTAGGGTATATATATATATATTTTAAATATATTTTATTGATTTTTTACAGAGAGTAAGGGAGAGAGATAGAGAGTTAGAAACATCAATGAGAGAGAAACATCGATCAGCTGCCTCCTGCACACTCCCTACTGGGGATGTGCCCACAACCAAGGTACATGCCCTTGACCGGAATCGAACCCGGGACCCTTCAGTCTGCAGGCCAATGCTCTATCCACTGAGTCAAACCAGTCAGGGCAAAGTGGGGTATATTCTTGAGGGTCCCCAAATCTATTCATGGGGTCCATGAATCGTACTTATAATAAGATGTTCTTTCCTTTTTCTGTTCTCATTCTCTCATGAAGTACAGTGGAAGTTTTTGAGGTATCAGAGAAAAACATCCACAATTATCTGAGAAGACTGTTAACATACTCCTCCTTTTTCCAACTACATATCTGTATGAGGGTAGAATTTCTTCATGTACTTAAACCAAAACATCATATCACAACAAACCAAATATAGTAGCAAAGATGAGAATTCAACTATCTCTATTAACCCAGATATCAGAAATTTACAATGCCATTCTTCTCACTAAAGTTTATTTTGAGAACTGTGGTTAGTGTGTGTGTGTGTGTGTTTGTGTGTGTTAGGATATATAGTAAATTTATTATTATCATTTAAGTAAATTAATATATATTTGACTTTCCTCAGTTTTCATTTCCAATATGGTAAATATAGATAGTTATAATCCAATAAATGGGAGTTCTTTAGGGTTTTCAATAAGTTGTAAGAGTGTAAAGGGGTTCCTGAGGTTAAGATGCTTGATACCCCTGCTCTAGGATCATTAGTTCTGGTTCTGTGAATGTGTGTCACTGTTTCCTTCTTTATCAAGCAAGTAAAAGAGCTTTCATTCACTAGCAGCACTGCGTCATCTTCTTTATCTCCCTGCTTCATCTTAATTTCTCTCAACACAGTAGTTCTGAAGGGTTAGACAATATTGCTTAGTTTAACCCTTTGCGGTCGTATTAAATTTGGACATGGGTGTCATACTGGTCGGAATTAATTTCCATTGAAAGAGCAGTGATACATAACATGCAAGATTATGAAGGATAAACAAGATTTATTAATTCTTTTTTGGAATGACATCACTACTAGTAGAATCACTACAAATGTTATCACTTTCTACGTCAGAGTCAGTATTCAAGGTGCCAAAATAAAACTCTTCATCGTTACTTTCAGATTCGCAGTACACTTCTTTCGGTAACTTTCTTTTTGCCATTTTGGAGTATTATTTTGAAATATCTTAACAAGCGAGAATCCCTAATTACAGTTAAACGTAATTTGTAAAGCTTTATTTGAAATTCTGCGAAGTATCTCTGAAGCTTGTTGATTTCTTCACTCTCAAAAGGTGACTGACTCGCCATGGTGTTTTGCATGGCGAGTGTGGAACGACCGCGTTTGTTTATATTGAGTTTCGATATCTCCGATTTGTCGGGGCAATGTTTTGGTTCGTGACAAGGTCGCTTAGACACTTAAGAGCTTTCAGAGAAATTATGAACTGATGCATGAATGAATAGAGTTAAGATTCGTACAGTTCCTTGCTGTGGTGGCTGAGAGCAGACATACGACCGGAACAGTAAAAAAGCTTTGGTGGCTGAGAGTAGACAAACGACCACAAAGGGTTAAACATCTGGGAAGCAAACTGTTCATATAAATGAATCATACAGCATTCTTTTTCTCTTCCTTTAATAAATAATGTTGGTCCATGAAACCTTTGCCAGCACTTCCTTCACTGGGATTGCGATTTCTTTACCAGCTGCATATAGTCATCCACTACGCCTGGCGGCTACAGTAGGAAATTAATGAGTTGATTTCATTGTCTTGCTGACATGTCCTCTTTTACTACCAGGAGCATTGAAGCAAGGCTACAGGTGTGGGCATCTGGTATGACAGGCCTGATGAATGTGTTCTCATTTCAGAAGACAGTATTTTGGAAATGCTGCTTTTTGTGAAGTCTGAGTATTTTTTTTTAATTTATTTTTTTTTATTACAAAGGGTGTTACATATGTGTCCATTTTTCCCCCCCCTCCCAAGACAGTCCCCTAGCCTCCCCTAGAGTTTGCTACCTTTCAACGGAAGCCACCAGAACCACCACCAGCTG